CAGAAAAAACCCACAGTCCGGGAAAAAACCAACAATTTCATATTTAATTGTCCTACAGTGAAGTCACCACACAGAATGCTACACCCATGGACACAGGACTTGCATTCAACTTTTCAGCACCTTGTTCTTAAATATGCATGGTCAAGAGTCACCAGACATCTGAAAAAAAAAAATCTTACATAAAAATAAAAAGGAAAGTGAACAGAAAAAAAAGGATACTTTGAGAAACAGAGAATGCAGTAAATTGGAGAAAATGTGTGAAAACAAAAACTATATTTAATAAACTGAGTTCAGAAAAATAATGAACCTGTATAACAGGAACAGGAAGCTATTTAATTAAAGGGGACATCTACGGAAAACAAAAAAGAGCTTTTGAGAAGTAAAAACATGATAGGAAAAATTGCGGGGGCTGGGGGGGGACAATAGAGGGAACATAAAATAGAAAATTGACGAAATATCCTAGAAAGTAGAAAAATACAAAAATATTAAAGTGAGAGAGGATAAGAAAATTGGAGAAACAGTCCAGAAGTTCCAACATCAGATAAAAGCAATTCCAAAAAAGAGCAAAGAAAAGAAAATGGAAACTAAAGGGAAATGAGTTACCACAGAAATGGTACCTCCCACATTTTCCAGAACTGAGGGGCATGATCTTCCAAATTCAAGGGCCCAGCACAAGTAATGAAGAAAAGACCTACTCCAAGCACCTGGTCTGACACACAGGGTTTGGGGCGGGGCCTAACGTTTTTTGCAATAATCCTTGTAGCATGATTTGACCCTTACAATATTCTACACATTATTAACAATATTAACTTGATAAAAATAATAATAATTTTTTAAGATTCGAAAAACAATCTTTTCATAGAGAAAGGAAAACACGCATTGGGTTACAAAGATGTGCTTAAGATGGAAATTCATCACACCACGTTCGCTCTTCAGAGCACAGTAAAATTAGGAACAAAATTTTAAACTAGAATCTGATGGTCCTAAAATCAGGGAGATTATACATGTTCACCTCTGGTTCAGTGAAGCTGGTGAACCATGTCACGGCCGGGTAGATGTTATAACCTATCAGAAGATAATCTGGTGTCACATTTTAAGCCCACAATAATACTCATGCACTTTTGTCTGTCTCACTAAAAATACTACTGGGAATATATCCTAAGGAAATACTCCAGAAAAAAGAATGCTATTTCATGGAGACAATCACTGCAGAGTTCTGTATAATGAAAAAATGTGAGCAAGCAAATGTTCAAAAACATTAGCCTAGTAAAGAAAATGATGACACACCAATGTAATAGAATATTCTGTGAACTATTTAAATGACTATTATTATGAGACCGTAACGGCATAAACAAGTTGATGATACAATAATAAAGATAAAAAAGAAAGGAATGAGTAAGTCAATTAGGATACATCCATTTAATAAAGTATTAGACAAAGTTTTAAATGAGCATTACGAAGACTTTAGCCACATGGAAAAAATGTAAACATTATAAAAAAAAGAAATAAAAAATAATAATAAAGAACATTGCAAAGGGGAAAAATGAAGAAAACGTGATTTCTGGGATTTGCTACGAATAGGAAGAAAACACATTTCTCTACTGCTGCCCTTCACTGTGACTCGGCAGAGAGAGTGGCTGACCTCGGCCTCTACAGTGAGAACTGCTCCGACCCGGTCCCTGCAGCACCACGCACTCCTGGTCTCCCCCTCCACGGCGGGCCCCTCCTCATCCTCTACCCAGCTCTAAGCTCGGAGCACCCCTGCTGGCTTCCTCGCGGTCACGCTTTCTCATTACATAATCTCCCATCTCCCATGATTCCGACTCCATCTACATGCTGGTGGTGGCTTCCACACGTGCAGCTTCGATCAGACCTCAATGAGACGCTGATCGCCCCGCAATTGCCCATCTCACTTCTTCACTCGGTGGCTCATTCAAATGTAACGTCCTCCTGTAAACGCGGTCTCCCATCAGAGCCAGCGTCTACTCCCATGGCTAGCAGTGATCATTCATTCCATTCTCACTGTCACTTTCAATCCATCAGCAAGTCCTATCAATTCTTCCTCCAGAACAGACCCTAAAATCATCCACTCCTGTACAGTTCTCATCCCCCCACCCTAGTCTAAGCCACCATGACATCTCATCTGTGTCACTGTAATAGTTTGCACTTCTTGAATCCATTCATCCCACAGTAGCCAAAATGAGTTTTAAGGAAGGAAATGAGATTACTTTACTTCTCTGCTTAAAACTCTTACGATGTCTCCGTGGCACGTAAGATAGACTCCAGAGAACTGCTGTGGCCCGTGGGCTGTCCGTCTGCTGCTCCCGCCTCCTGTGGTGCCCGCTCCCCGCGCGCCAGCAACGCAGGCCTCACGGCAGGTCTCAGAACTCTCCGAGCACTTTCCCGCCCCACGGCCCTTTCGTTCGC